GAGCATGTCTGCAAGAGAGAGAGAGAGAGAGAGAGAGAGAGAGAAGAGAGAGAGAGAGAGAGAGAGAGAGAGAGAGAGAGAGAGAGAGAGAGAGAGAGAGAGAGAGAGAGAGAGAGAGAGAGAGAGAAGAGAGAGAGAGAGAGAGAGAGAGAGAGAGAGGAGAGAGAGAGAGAGGAGAGAGGAGAGGAGGAGAGGAGAGAGAGAGAGAGAGAGAGAGAGAGAGAGATATATATATATATATATATATATATATATATATATATATATATCGTAGACATGACATGACATAGACATACACTATAGGTAGGTAACCCAAGTCAAATGCACCACTTCACACTACCTGTCACCAACGTTTTTATCATTAATAACTCCTGTGCATGTTCTGAAGTTATGGCGGCGATAAGCTGAGCATCCTTCAGTACACAGCACACTATCCGCCCCTGCCGGCTTCCGGCCGTAGGACCGGTTCACGCTAGGGCTGCCGTGTCGAGAAGAGGACCCCGATTTTGACGGTCGGTTAGTGCTGGTCATTCGGCCGCTGATCGTTCCCAGACGGCTGGCACTTTGATGACGGTGGCCGATTGGCATCAAGATCAAGGTATCAGGAGGGTCAAGGCAAAACTACCGACGAGACCTAAAGGCGAAAACTGGTTCCGACGGCGACAAAAAACAAGAGGCTTTTGTGGGGGTGTCTCCGCATTGCAGCACGGCGGGTCTGCTGGTCCACGCTGCCAACAGCTCACACACTTTGGCAGGACCGACACTGTTGATCAGTGCATTGGTCCAAGCTTTTACATATGAGCTAGTAAGGATACCGAGACAGATACAGTCTTTCGGGACTGGTGCTGATTCTGCGGCACTTGCAAACTTCTGGGCGGAGGTTTTCAGGTGTCTGTCTGAGGACCGGCCCAGATTGCCACATCAGCGGAGATCGGACGTTATTTGCAAGGTTCCTCAGTGACGTCATGACGTAGCGATGATATTCAGGATCCTCGGATCACGCTTGTGGAATGCCTTCCCTGAACGGGAGCGCCATCACCGCATGGGCTCATCGGCGCGTCGCGGTAGATGTGGACGGTGTGCATGTACCTGGTAAAAAGGTGGGGATTCGCACAGCTGATGCTGTCGTGACAGAACGGTTAATTGTGACGTTCATGTATTTCCCTCCCTCACTCTTGTACACTGCGGTTGGAAGTTAGCCATCCCTGCCTTCCATTCAGGAAGCAATGCAAACGGGCTGCCCGATAGGTATAGTAAAATATAGGTGCCATATGTTAGAAAAAGCATTGTACATAGTCGTCTTCCTTACGGCAGCAGTCAGTTATCGTGGATAATAAAAAAACAGGCGCATTCGCGCTCGTGCCTTCGACTTTTTATAATTACGGTAGTGAACGTCCGAGTATCCAAGAGACGCGACACCACGGCCCGCGGGCGCCATTGCTGCGACGAAGTCAATGTACTTCTCATTAAGAACTGTAAGAATGTACGCACCCAATGATCATAAGAATTATACGGGGATGATAGTTGAATGAAATATGTCTTCAACCAATATTGGCCAGTGATTTTGCACCCTAAGTCGAGAAGGAACTGCACGAAGTTGGATAGTTTAGCGGCCGTGTTAAAACTGGAATTTTAGCCCAACGGCCTAGATGACCTGCAATTCCTTTTGATATGATTCAATGATCTTTTGTGATGTTTGGTGTCTTATGAGCGTCTATACATGATATCTATTAAATTGGGCCAAATGTGGGAAACATCTTTTGGCATATTTTGAGGGTAAGTCGAGTCAATTTTACCGTTTAGCCCCCCCCCCCCTAAATAGTTATTTTGCGAAACTACACCTCTGATCTCGTGCATGGTCTCCTCCGTAACGACGGTTGCCCAGCAGCTGCAGCGGCCGCGCTCACGTGCGCCGGGCGCGCTCCGGGCGGCGGCGGCCGCGGCCACGCCGGCTCGTACCTGTGCTGGCCTGGTGCGTGTCGAGGTTAGCGGACCTCTTCCGAATCTGCGCCGCCCAGAACTGGCTGTGGCTGAGGCCGCCGACGGCCGGCAGCAGGCAGGCGAGCAGCAGCGGCGTCAGCAGCCGCAGCGGTCGGCACCGGCGGGCGGCGGACATCGTCAGTGCTGTCCTGCGGGGCACCGCCCGGCGCGGTCAGCTGTGGCGGCGGCATCGGCACAGTCAAAAAAGGGGGGCGGAATCAGCGTCGTCATCATGGTCAGAACAGGCGCTCGGGTCAGCGCTGGTGGTGAGCTCAGCTCAGCTCAAGCTCAGTTCACATCAGCTCACTTTACCTCAGCTCAGCTCAGCTGAGCCTATAAACCGGCCGGACGCGGGTTTTGGCCACACGGGCGTGCTCCGGTCTTTTCGGAACGGCTTGATGGCTCTGTGCCGAGACGCGGATCACAGGCAGTGACGCCCCCACGCCGCGCCGACTAAGCCACCGAGTAAGACGCACCGGCACGGTTATGGCATTAAATGTGGCCGACAGATGAAAGTGTTGTGGCAGGAAAGAGCATTCTTCTGTCGGCACCCGCGTGGTGGTTAGGGAGTGCATTGCTCCTTACCAAATATGGTGTGCGTGCAACCACCTCATCTCAGCCGTTTCGGCATATGAGCGTAAATGACCACAATGGTTGGCGCACCCAAGACCCTAATCATCACCATCTTTACGCCTCGGCACAAATGCATTTTACGGCACGAAAGATTACGGAAACTGTGAAGTCTGGGAAAACCTAGTCACCGTTGCACCATTGTCTTTCCAGGATTATATGTTAAGGCTAGATCCTCCTCTACCATTTCGGTGGAAGAAAGCTCCACGGTTATCAATTTTAATTTGCGTGTTAGCAATGTGAAGATGAGCAGTCTTTGACAGGATGATGCTAGTTAATACCCAGTGGGAAAATCACCGGTTCGGACACTTTCGAATCGTTAGCTATCTGTCACGCATAACAACTCCGCGGCGATAATCTCCATCGCACCTCCCACCGAAGACGAAATGAGGAAAGCTCCGGAATAGCTTCGTCGCGGCCCGAACCACCGCAGTAGCCGGCTTCCGCTCTCCTCGCAGCAGCACACGCAAGTGTTCTGCGGACAGCCGGTCAGCGCAGCTTCTTTAATCTCAACAGCCCACGTGACCGGCCCTTATCCCGCGGCGCACACGCGCCCCGTGACTTCCTGGCATCGGCCGGCCGGGGGTCAACCACCGGCGACGGGAGGGGAGGGGTGCTGTAGAGTGCCGCCGGCAGCGGGCGCACTCCTCCCCCTCCTCCACCTCTCATCTGCTGCCCGGGGAAAAGGCGCAAACCGGTCGGACCGGTCGCACATCCCGCCAGCTAATCCGGCGCCGTCGCCGTCGGTAAGCCGCGCAGGGACGGGCGACGGCCGCCGGCGGCTGGCGGCAGCGGCCCGCTGGTCGACGTGCCAGGTCCGGGTACGATCCCAGGCGGCCGGCCCGCCCGGCAGAGCCGTCAGGGCTGGAGGGAGGGGGGAGGGGGCGGCACTGTCGGGAGGGTGAGAACCGGCGGCGGGCGGAGGCCGACTGCAGCGGAGTCGGACGGAGTGAGCCAGAGTCGTGCTGGACCGGGATGGAAACAGACTGGAGTGAACTGACGGTAGACGGGATATATTAGAATAGAGCCGGTCTGGACTGAAGGCAGACAGACAGGAATGAACTGGACAGGTGATGGACGGTATAGATTGGACTGGAGTTGGGCTGGAATGGACTGGAATAAAGTCAGAATGAGTGGACTGGATGGACTGAACCGGGTTCGACAGGACAGACTGGACTGCCCTGACTGCTGCTGCAGCTCGGCGAACTAGTTTGGTCGTCCGACTGTACTCCCCGGCCAGTGGAGGATGGGCACTTAAAGCCCTGCAGTTGCTGACCGCCCCGGAGCTGGACACGGACATGCACGACCACAGAGAAGTGATGGAGGACTTAGTGGTGTACTTCAGGAGCCGAGATGCGCGAAAATCACCGAGGATGCGACTGAGAAGAAGGAGTCTTGATGACGACAGCCGGCTGTGTTTTCCAGGTTTTTTTGTCCCATTCAGAGTAGCATTCAGCCGAGCTTGAAGAGTTGCAGCTGACCTGAGGTCTGGGTGTTTAGGGTGTGTCTAAGTCAGCCCTGGTGTCTGTATCCATAACCTAATTAGAAGCTGGCTCTCTTACAGCACATGCAGCCGTGGTTAGCTCGGACAACGTCAGGTTCCGTGAAAAGATCATGCTACATTTCATTGGTTTCAATCTGACAATCTTTGCTCTCCTCTGGACAGAAAAGAGGGAATCCTTACACCTTTTTGCATTGTCCTTACGCAACCCACCCCCAAAGTATATCAGCGCTGGTGGTATGCGTCAGGTCAGTCGAAGGTCGTATAATCTTTTCGACCAGCGTATGTTCAAATATATGTTATTCATTGCATCACCTAATCTCTGACGCACGTTTATACGTAATCCAAGCTCAGCACCATTCCTCGGATGAGGCTTTACTCCAAGCGACAGGAGCTTGCATTCCTTGGATGAGGCTTTACTCCAAACGACAGAAGCCTGCATTTTAAATTTCAGAATTTCACAGCAAAAATTACGTCTGGGTATCAGTCAGGTGTCGTGCGAAACATGGCCTAGCTCTGTATGAAAGCCATTGTTTTCGGACAGCTTAAATTTGACTTTTGGCTAAACAGATGTGTGCAGGCTCACGCGGCCGTCATCGCTGGGTAAATGTGGTGCCTCCTGGTTCATGATGGCCGAGTAAACCGAGGGCAGACGGTGACGGTCCGCCCCCCCCCCCTCCCCCCTCCCGTCC